TAATATAAGAACCCAAGCCTCAGACACGCAGCCTTTGGTAAATGGTAAATGGATTCTCTCCCAGTAAGCTGTCACTGCACATGAGCATTCTACCATAATAATGACAAAGTAACAGAGTAGAACTTTCAATTACCAGCATCTCAACCTTGCAGACTGAGCCATTTTCTATAAGGCTTTTTTCTATGATCCTTGAATATGTGAGTCCAAATGACCAGTTTTTTCAAATAACTATCAGATTATGTTAAAAATGCTGGATCACAAGCAAATATTTTATATATACAATGTAAAAGGGAAGATACAATATTCTTGAACTTTGCTGGCACATCATAGGCACCCAATAAATATTTGTTGAATAATTGCTTATAAAAGTTAACATTATTAAATTCAGATTTAAAAGTAAGACAAATGGTAACAATATTTTCAAATTAATTTCATCAATAGAAAAATTGTTTTTCTTACTTAATTCCTTATATACTACCACATTTGGACTGATATTCAGACTGACAAGGTCAATGGTTATTAAGAAAGATAATTATATGTAGTCCATAATATGTAAAAAGGATATTTTAATTATTAAAGTCACTGCCTTTCACCTTATAAACCTTTCTTAAATAAAACAAATTCAGGTCAATAAAACTACAGAAAGTTATGATTAGTTTCTTATGAACTCTACAATTCACTTTAGTTAATAAACTAAGGATAGATATATTAATGTAGTTTAACAATAAGTTGCCCATTCTTCACATTCTAGAGCCCTAAAACAAGTCTAAGCACAACACAATCTGCCCCACTGGAGTTCAGAAGGAAGAGAAACACATTCTAAAGCATATCAATTTATCAATGCCAAAAAGGCAGCGATTAATTTTACATCCTGTAAAATTTTAAGCCTCTACTAAAAAACAGAGAAATTATTTCTCAGTATCTAGCAACTATGAGTGTTTGAAATACTACATAGGATCACTGGATGGATAAGAATAGTTAGAAAATGTCTCCAGAGATCACAGTTTCTCTCTCAGAAGTCACATCTCAAAGTCTTTTAAGGATGAGATTCTACAAGTTCACACTGCATGGCAGACACTGTCAGAAAAAAGCCTTCCTCAATCTCCCTTAAAGCAGCATAAGCTCTTTTCTTCTAGCTTCAAGAAGACACAAAGATGACTTGAGTATGACCCTTTGTATCATAACTTTTTAAGTTTTTTTTTTTTAATCAGAAGTCACACTACTGAATTATCTTCTACCTACTATCATTACTTCTTGATTTGCTGATGTCACAAAACAATTTTAAAGAAAATATAGGTAGTTACCTGGTCCTTGCATGGAAAAGACATCTAAGTATAAAAACAGTAAATCACAAAGAAAAATATTAGGTAGACAATATTAAATTGTTTTAATTTCTATAAATCAAAACTATATTAGGAGCTAGGGGTATGGCTCAATATCAGAGTGTGGTATAAGACCAGATTCAATGAATTAAATGAAAGGACAATTGTGGGGGAAATATCCCATCTGATAAGGGTTAATATATTTACTATATCAAACCACAAACCAGTATGTGTCTAAGACAGTGCTCCCAGCATTCCCCTCTTCCTCCATATAAGAATGTGCAGTGAATGGGTTGGAGCAAATTATATCATATGCATATATGAATATGTCACAAGGAATCCCAGTATTATGTATAATTATAATGCATTAATAAAAATGTTTTTAAAAGAATATGAAATGTCCCTATAGAAAAGAGGTTATAGCTTCTCATTCCCAGCTTTGAGCCTCTCGTCATTGGCCTTAGCCCTTTTCCTCCTACCTGGATGTCCTCTTTCTTCCAAGCCCTGTTTGACTAAAGGTTCAGATAAACAGGAAGTCAGCCTAGTCTAGATTTCAGGTTTTCCCCAAGACCCAGCCTCTGAAACACTGTTTTGTACCTCACTCAGTAGCCTGCAGGCAAGTAACAACTTGCCCCTAGCTCCAGGGATACCTTATCCAACTAATTATAGCCAAAGCCCAGCATACTGATTTCCTGCCTGGACTGGAGAAGACAAAAAGCAAATGAATAACTAATAAGAAAAAAACAGAAAGGATGGTGAATAGGTACTAGGTACAGTTGGATAGGAGGAATAACTTCTAATGTTCTATAGCACAGTAGGATAATTATTTTAACAAGTTAATTTAGACGTTTCAAAATTATTAGTAGAAAGGATTTTGAATGTCCCTGACACAAAGAAATGGTATATGTCTGAGTGATAGATATATCAATTACCTGAACTGATTACTACACATTGTATACATGTATTGAAATGTCAAAATGTACCACATAAATATGTACATTACTATGAGTCAATAAAAATATTTTTTAAAAACTGAGACTCCAATAGAGAGAGTCTGTACATGCACAGAAAAGCTAATGCACAGCTAATAATAAGGGTTATTCGATGTAAAAATATAATAATAACAGCAGATATGAGTTAAAAGAAGGAGGTGTCATTTTTACTTGTAAAAGTAACAAAAATGTTTTAAAAAATGTTAATTAGGCACGGTTTAACTGATGGTAGGATGTAAACTGTATCTCTTTGAAGAGCAGTATAGCAATATTTTAAGAGCATTAACATTCCTGTCCCTTGGTTCTGTGCTTTCATTTTTAGAAACTAATCTTAAGTAATCAAGAGTGTAATGAAAACATTTAAGTATAAAAATATTCATCACTACATTTGGTCTTCAAGTATAAATATTCAACAATAAGTAAATAGCATATAAATTATGTTTCATCCATAGTGTGAATTATTATGGAACTAATAAAAATGACACAAGAGCTGGCCCTTACATAGTACTGACCAGGGACCATTCATTGTCCTAAAGAGTTCACATGTATTAACTCATTTGCTCCTTAAAACAAGATAACATGGTGGCACATGCCTGTTACCCCAGCTAATTGGGAGGTTGAGGCAGGAAGATCATAAGTTCAAGGTCAGTTTGGGTAACTTAACAAGATCCTGTCTCAAATTAAAATACAAAAGAGTTGGGGATGTACCTTGGTGGTAAAGTGCCCTCCAGTTTCCCCAGTGGGGGAGGAGGGTATCTAAAGGTGATTAGCTCAAAGTTACAATGAGACAGACTTTCACATCCTTAGCTGAACATCCAAAAAGCTATGAAAACAGTGTTTTCATAAATTTGTGGCAAGTTAAATTGGTGGCAAATCTTGATCTGAATTGTTGTGCAACTATCATCTTTATTGCATTTAGAGTGAATTCAATTTACTTAAGAAAAGTTAATGTGTTTCATGACATGCAGGGTGTTATATAACAGACCCCATTAGAAGTGATACAGTTATCTTATACCATGTTATCTTTCTGTAAACTGAAAAATTATCTAGGCCCCCAAATTTCAGATAAGGAATTCTGTTGAACTGGAATTCAGGTCTAAGTGATCTGTCTGCCTCTGGAGGCTGTGCTCCTAATCACTGTGTGATATTTTCAGAGGCTGTTCAATGACATGGGAAAATACTTTTAATTCAAACACTTAACTACATACAATGTGTCAGACACATGGACAAATTTTAAATTGCAATTGTGATGAATGGTACAAAGGAGAGATAAGTGGTGTCAGAAGAGCCTATATTAAGATCCTATATTAAGGAAGCTAGACAAAATAGTCAGAGGCAATTTCCTGAGCAAACATTTGACTTGATCAATGAAGGATGCACAAGAGTTAACTAAAGAGAAGAGGGCAGAACAAATCCAGGAGGGAGAAGACCATATGCAAAAACTCTGTAATAGGAGGGAAAATAGTGACAAATGACTGAAAAGGAGCCAATGTAGAATAACCGCTTGTCACAGTTTGCTTGAGGGATAGTCCCAGGTTAAGCCTTTTGTTCCAGTATAAATAATAGCACTCTTTTTCTCTTAAAAATATCTTGTTCTGGATCATAAAATATATAGTCACCCAACTTTTAGGTGACTAATTAAGAGTTGTGCCTTTATCCTAAGGATAATGAGAAGCCATGATGGATTTTAAGCTGGGGGGTGGGGGAGCAAAGTTGTATAGCATAATAGAAGTTTAATTTTTAAAACATTACTCCTGCTACACTGTAAAGAAGAGATGGGAATATTTAAAAGACAGGTGAATGCCTTCAGGAAAGTTGGGCTGCTACTATAGGAAACAGGGCAAGAGATAATGGTGGTTTGGTCTAAGGTGATAAAGGAAGAGACAGAAATGAGCAGTTGGATTTGATATTGTGTGCAGACAAAATATCACAAACTGATTATTATTTGGATACAGAAGGAGGAGTGGTTGGTACTAAGGATGAGGCCATGATTTCTGGCTTACAAACTAGTAAACCAGATTCATTGAGATAAGAACACGGACACTTACATGGGCTAAAATGTGTGTGTGTGTGTGTGTGTGTGTGTGTGTGTGAGAGAGAGAGAGAGAGAGAGAGAGAGAGAGAGAGAGAGAGAGAGAGATTGGTCCCAATTTGAAGGCACGGACCTGGAGAACAAGAAAGGAAAGCTTAGGTTCAAAACCTGTTGATGTTTCCTTTCATTCACAGAAACTTTGCCCTATGCATGGCCTTCCAGGATTCTGGTTGGATACTGAAATCGTTAAGTGGTCAGAAAGAATAGGAGGTAGGTCCTGCTTAGCTGGTGATGGGGGACCAGGAGCATCTGACCACCATAAACATGCAAATATCCCCTACGATTAACTGTGCTTTACATTTACCATAGTTCACAAAATAGTTTCTCATATAATGTCATTTAAGCCTAACTTTTATGAGAAATTATAATCTGCATTTAGGAAACTGAGGCAAATGCCTGAATTACCTCTCCACCGAACCATCTTATCTCCTATGCGCATCCACTGTGTGCAGGAACTATATAAAGTGCTATAAGAAATAGCTACCATATAATGTGGTCCTACTAGGTGCCAGGCTCTAGGAGATTAAAGAGAAAAAGGGAAAGAAAAGCCACTTCAGAACTTCTAAGGATGTGTTACTTTTCCCACACACTTACCCTATATTAAGTTCGCTTTTAAACTTTCAAAGAGGTTCACGTCCCAAGGTGGGGTGGAGGTGAAAAGGTGTAGATGAACCGGGGCAGTCAGGGACCACCCCAAACACCGGACCCGAGTAAAATGGGGTTCCAACCGCTCGGCCCCAGGAGACACTAAGGGGTCCGCGGGCCCGGGTCCGGTTCCTCCGCAGCTGGGACCGCCAGTGGATCGGCAGCCGGAGGCCCAGAGGCCCGTTTGCCCCGCGCGTTGCCATAGCAACGGCCCGGGCCGGCCACCGCCCGGGACGTACGCTCCCTCCCTTGGGGCCGGCCCTGAGTGGCGACCCAAGTGGCCACTCACCCTGGCCGCTGGCGGGCTGGGACCCGACAGGCGCGCACCCTTCGCGCCGGTTGTCGCCGAGCCCGGAGTTCCGCACCTGCAGAAACTAACTTTTCTGCCAGCGGAGAAGCCGCAGTGAGGTGGACGGGGGCCGCAAAGGGACAAAGCGCGGCGGCCGCAGCGAAACCCCTCTCCCCGCTGCCGGGCTGGCGAAGAGGCCCCGTCCGCACACCGGCGACCACGTGCTCGGGTGCAGTCCGAGGCGTCCCGCAGGCAGATCCCCTTAGGGGGCCGATGTAAGAAAAAGCAGCCACATGTTACATAAAACGAAAGCTTTATAACAGTGATATCACAGTGGTGAGGTGGTGTCCTGGCTAATATTCTCATTCAGGGCAGAGGCCTGGGTGTCCAGCCCATTGGAGCTGGGGCTGTAAGCCATGCACTGGGGCGGGTGCGGAGCTGACCTATAAAAGAAAACGTTCTCACTGCGGGGTGGTGGGGGTTGGGGGTTTTGTTCCCACAAAAGGGCTGAAAGGCTCCTCACAGATCAAATGCCAAATCCCAGGAACAGGTTTTAGCCACAAACGTCTGTGGGACCGTCTAAATGCATGACATCTACAATAGAGACTAGAAATATGGGCTCCAGCTGTATGCTAATATATCCATGGACCTGAACTGGGAATGGCTTCTGTGGGTCTGGGTTTTGCCCTCTAGCAGCTGTGGGGAAGAAATTCGGCTCTCTTTATACTAACCTAATTATTTGAAGCAATTATTCTCTAAAATTAATTTGATAACCAATAACTGGGTACATCAGATTCATTTTATTGCTTAGAGGTAGGTATACATTTGTCAACTAATTCATCTGTCCTCTTCACCACAAGTTCAAAATGGACATGATTAGTAATTGATAACTTCAGCTTTGAAATTTTTTTGAAAAATAAATAATCTCCACCAGGTCCTATACTGTAGAACGTTGGAATCTTGGCCAGACATTGTTCAGAAAAAGTAAAGAACTATTGTCTAACAGGGGTCTGGAAAAGTCTGCAAGAATTTTCTTCCCTGTCCCCCAAGGATGGAATGGCAGTATCCAAGCAGGAGTGTTCCGTACCATGATGTCAAAAGGTCGATAAACATTGCCCCCAGCTCACTGACCTGTGAAGTGTATGGGTCTGCCTTTAATAAGCTGTGAGGCCCTTTACATTTTCGAAGAAATAACTTTGAAGTGTTTATTTACTAATGCCTGTTTTTTCCTAACAAAAATCTGATTGAAAGAGTCTAGAGTTCTGGAGAATTGTTTGAAAGACAGCTCCATCCTCTATATAATCTATGAGTCATTAATTCCCAAACTTCATTACATATCAGAGATATCCAAGGAGTTCCTTTTATTTTATTTTATTTTGTGTTTAAATACAAATTCACGTTACACTTCCAGAAATTCCGATTAAATAGATCACATTAAATTACTTTATAAGGGAATTCAGGTGAATTTAAAACAAAGCTAGACTGGGAACCACTGTACTAGGTTTTATCCTCGTTTAAGCTAGACTATCCAAAAGCCATGTGTTTGTATCACTTTGTCTTCACCCTTGCAATATTGCCTCTGCCTTATTCCATTTGTTCATATTAAGAAATGCTTTGGAAAACAAAAACAAAAGCAAAACTACTCATGATACCTCTGCATTTACTAGAGGGATTATTTCAAGAGTGATATTTATTTATTATAACACTAGCAGAATCCTGCCAGATTGTCTACCCCTTGTTTTTCAAACTTTTGGGACTATTATCCACCAAGAGAAATATATTTTACATTATTATCCACAATATACAAACCTATGACGTAATTACTGAAATAGGTTTATAAAACTTTACCCAAACCACATGTACTCTGATATTTTTAATCTCTTTTTATTGCTGGTTTCTATCCATTGAATGGCTTCTTGACTACCAGATGAGTTGCAAGGTGTATCTTAAAAGCAGTGATATAGAGAGATCTATTCTAGAAAGTAGCCCTGTACTCTCAGACAAGGTAATCAGTCCAACTAACTACAGATGATTACTCCAATAGTAGATATCTGACTCAGGCAAGCCAATAACATCTCTCTCTCCAGTATTTGAATTAGAGTAGATTTCAGTCCTTTCTCTACATAGCTAACATAAAACCAGGAGCTATCCACAAACATACTTTCCTCACATATGGTCTGGAGAAATGCAGAAAACCAGGCTGCAGGGAAAATGGGAGAACAGGAATTTCATTCATATATATATATATATATATATATATATATATATATATATATATATACACACACACACACACACACATACACACACACACACACACGAGAGAGAGAGAGAGAGAGAGAGAGAGAGAGAGAGAGAGAGAGAGAGAGAAGAGAAGAGTTCTGACAGTTTTCCATCTTTGTCATAGTATTTTCTGAAATAAGCTGCATTCCTTCCTTTGAATTCCATGGAATATTTCCAGATCTTTATGACAAAGTGCACTCTTTTGCTTACCTTAAAATAGGTGAATTTCTGTTATTGCAACCAAAATGATTCTAATGGTATTAGTTTTATATGGCTATCATAACAAAATTCCCAAAATTTAGTACCTTAACACAGATTTAGTATCTTGCAATTCCACCAAGTTTATTGTGATAATCAGGAGCAGAAAGCAAAGCTGAAAGATTTGAAAAATTTGCAGTTTGGAGAGAAAAGTGTGGGTAAAATTAGGCATAAGGAAGTTGTGGTAGTTAAAGAGATTATAGCACTAAGAGATCACTAAGTACTTTACCTGAAAACAATAGAAAGGATGGCTTCAGGATGTCTCGGGAATTGGCAAGAATACACCTATCTCATGCTCAAGGGTGTAAAAGAAAAAAATCCTTTCAGAAGAGACTGTGGGAGCACTCTACAGGGGCGCCTAGGAAGTTGTTTCACTATGCTTAGTCACCCAGACATTGAGAGGCTGCTATAACCATGGTCCCTACAGGTTTGGCTACTGCTTGAGATAGTGGCAGATGTTGGCATCAACCACATGATATTGTTTCTGCAAGAAGGCAGGATGCTGGAATTAGGGCGTCATGAGGCTTCCACTGAGATTTCAAAGGAAACCCTGGGAGGTCAGGGAAGGTGTAATAGGATTGGAGTCCCTGTGGGCAACCTCTGAGAGGGCAATGTGTGGAGATGTGAGAAGATAGCTGAAGCTGCTGTGGAGACCCCAGAGACTAAGAGATGCCAGTAACATGGAACATCTGCAAAGGAAAGTTGCAAGAATTAATCAGAAACTAGCCAAGAGACAGGCCACTGAGCTGCAACCAGCAAGGCCATAGTGGTGAAGTTACAAAAGCCATTGGAGAGAACATCATAATGCCATGTGCCCTAGATGCTGACCTATTTGCTCAGCTGGATTTTGGTCTTTCTTTGGTCCCATTCCTTCTTCCTGTGCCCCTATTTCTTCCCTGTGGAATGGAAATGTTCACTCTGTTCCATTACATATAAGATTATATGTATGTATGTATGTATGTATGTTTGTGTGCATTGCATACAAACACACACATATATATAATATATATATACACATTATATATGTGTGTGTGTGTGTGTGTGTGTGTGTGTGTATAAAAACTTGCTCCTGATTTTTACAGGGCTTATGCTAAGAGTTTGCCTTGAGTATCAGAGGAGACTTTGGACTTGTGCTTCTGGGAAATCTTGGAACTATTAAAACTATGGGGACTCTTGGAAATCGACTAAATGTATTTTGCACTGTGAAATGGACATGAGCTTTTGGGGGTCAAGGCAAAATGTTATGGTTTAGATATTAGGTGTCTCCCAAAAGCTCATGTGTGCAACAATGCAAGTAAGTTTAGAAGTGAAATAATTGGATTAAGAGTTTTTTTTTCAATTATTTATCACGCATTTATTTATTTTGAAATTACTGAAATCATCCCTTTAGTTCTAGTTCTGTATACAGATATTTGCCAATTTGCCATCACCAGGTAGTTACCAAATAAACACCAAGAATTCCCTATCTTCTCAGGTCATATATTTCTTTTTAATATCTTGTAATTTAAAAGTTTTGGTTCTAAAACTTATATTTCTACAAATGCTTTCATTAATTAAATACCTGACTGTTACTTTGAAAAAATGAGTGAAATGATTTTATAGATCATATTTATTAACAAATCAGAGTAAACTGAATTCTTATATTTCTAAATCAATTAATGCATCTTCTGAATGAGACTGTCCTGATAGGAACTAATTAGGTGATAACTATAGGCAAGTAGGGTGTGGCTGAAGGAGGTAGGTCACAGGGAGTGTGCCATTGGGGTATTCTCTTTCTTTCTCTTTCTCTCCCCCTTCCCATCTCCCACCTCCTCCTATCTCTATCTCTATCTCTATCTCTATCTCTATCTCTATCTCTATCTCTATCTCTATCTCTATCTCTATCTCTCTCCTTCTTGGTGGCTATGTCCTGAACCACTTTCCTCCACCACACTCTTCTGCCATGATTTGAGCACACAGCTATGAAGTCAGCTATCTATGGACTGAGACCTCTGACACAATGAAACCCATATAAAATTTTACTCTTCTTTAAAAAACAAACACTGGTCTCACTAAGCTAAATCAGTGTGAACAAGGATACATTCCTCTTTTGATGTTCTCAAAGATAATCAGTTTCTTTGCCTTTTGCAGTTTCCAGAGGCTACTGGCACTCTTTGGCTTATGGCCCTCTTCCTCTATCTTCAAAGCTAGCAACATTATGATGAATGGAAACAAAAATGTGGTATATATATACACAATGGAATACTATTCAGCATTAAAAGAGAATAAAATCATGTCATTTGCAGGTAAATGGATGGTGTTGGAGAATATAATGCTAAGTGAACTTAGCCAATCCCCCCCAAAAAAAACAAATGCCAAATGTTTCATAATGGGGTTGGGGGGTGGGGAGCATAGGTGTATTAGAGGAACTCTAGATAGCACAAAGGGGAG